CCGAAGCCATTCCTGCGTTGTCTTGGCTGTGTGCTTAGGGTTGTTGTCCTGTTGGAAGGTGAACATTCGCCCCAGTCTGAGGTCCTGAGCGCTCTGGAGCAAGTTTTTATCAAGGATTTCTCTGTACTTTGCTCCATTCATCTTTCCCTCGATCCTGACTAGTCTCCCAGTCCCTGCCGCTGAAAAACATCTCCACAGCATGATGCTGCCACCACCATGCATCACCATAGGGATGGTATTGGCCAGGTGATGAGCGGTGCCTGGTTTCCTCCAGATATGACGCTTGGTATTCACGCTGAAGAGTTCAATCTTGGTTTCATCAGACCAGGGAATCTTGTTTCTAATGGTCCTTTAGGTGCATTTTGGCAAACTCCAAGCAGGCTGTCATGTGCCTTTTACTGAGGAGTGGCTTCCGTCTGGCCACTCTACCATAAAGGCCTGATTGGTGGAGTGCTGCAGATATGGTTGTCCTTCTGGAACGTTCTCCCATCTCCACAGAGGAACTCTGGAGCTCTGTCAGAGTGACCAAGGACCTTCTCCACCAATTGCTCAGTTTGGTCGGGCAGACAGCTCTAGGAAGAGTCTTGGTGGTTCCAAACTTCTTCCATTTAAGAATGATGGAGGCCACTGTGTTCTTGGGGACCTTCAATGCTGCAGAATTTTTTTGTTACCCTTCCCCAGATCTCTGCCTCGACACAATCCTGTCTCGGAGCTCTACGGACAATTCCTTCGACCTCATTGCTTGGTTTCTGCTCTGACATGCACTGTCAACTGTGGGACCTAAAATAGACAGGTGTGTGCCTTTCTAAATCATGTCCAATCAATTGCATTTACCACAGGTGGACTCCAATCAAGTTGTAGAAACATCTCAAGGATGATCAATGGAAACAGGATGCAACTGAGCTCAATTTCGAGTCTCATAGCAAAGGGTCTGAATACTTATGTTAATAAGTTCAGTTTTTTATTTTTAATAAATTTGCAAACATTTCTAAAAACCTGTTTTTGCTTTGTCATTATGGTGTATTGTGTGTAGATTGATGAGGGAAAACATTTAATCAATTTTAGAATAAGGCTGTAACGTAACAAAATGTGGAAAAAGTGAAGGGGTCTGAATACATTCTGAATGCACTGTATGGAGGGAATGGTTCAGAATATTAGGGATCAATGAAAGAAAGCCATATAAATACACATATATTAATCTCCTTTTCAGCACCAATTGGTATTTAAAAAAATACTCTGATGTGTATTATTTAGGGCTAGGAAAGTATTTTTGAATTGGAGAGCCTTTACAGTGGTTTGATTCATCCTGAAAGTTGCCATATTCAATTGTTCAAGCCATTAAATATTGGAAGGTGAGAAAAGGGTACAATAGGGTTTGAACAGTAGTCCTATACATCTTCCCTAATAATCCAGATTCCTCACTAATCATGGAACTGTCATGGTGAACCGTGCGCCAGGTTTAAACTGCTAGTATGGTCTGCATTCCATAATGATTCAAATGATTGCACAACTACGTTAGCCTAATATGATCCACTATTGCTAGCAATCCTCAGGAACAACCACACGAATGTGACAAATTAAAGAATGGTAAACTAACAATGTAATGCAAAGATGCAAAATGTAAGGAAATCAATTCTAAAGTCAGTGACAGTTATAAATGTATGTGCGATAGAAATTGAAAAAAAATACTGTGAAAAGTTTGCTCATATAATTAAAACATTCTAAAAATCATAAATCAACTCAGGTAGGTTTGATGCGATACTGTCTTTTTGCGCATGACTACAGAAGCCTAGATTGGGTCTCCAAATTTCATCCCAAATTATAAGGCCAGCATTTCATAAACTTCACTGTGGAAAAGGTGATATGTTGGAATCCACCCCTAGTGCTTATAGTAAGCAGAGCATGTTGTGATATTGTAGGTAGGTGGAAGGTTGTAGTAGTGTGGCTGCCCAACTCTGATCACATGACCAGTTTTCCGGGAGTATTTTGGGAGTCTGTTATGGAACTGGAACTGCCATGTTCCCCTGACGCATATTACTCCATAATGTTTTTACATGAACTGATCTGTAGTGTGTAGATTTCCACAAGTTACTGCTTGAAATAGTTAGCTTTCATGTAGAACGAGAGGAGGGCAGTGAGGTCATCACAGCAACACCCCAAGACAGATCAAACACTAGTTCTAGCTCTGAAATGGCAAGAGGGCACCATTTATAGTCAACATTTTCAACATATTCTGTACAGCATTGTGCTTGATGTATGGAATAACTTAATTTTTGTAAATGTTTAACACATTTTGCAGAAAAACATTCAAAAAGAAATACTATTTTTTTATTTAACGTTTCTTAAAAAGTATTCAATTATACAGTTGAAGTCGGAAGTTTACATACAGTGAGGGAAAAAAGTATTTGATCCCCTGCTGATTTTGTACGTTTGCCCACTGACAAAGAAATGATCAGTCTGTAATTTTAATGGTAGGTTTATTTGAACAGTGAGAGACAGAATAACAACAAAATAATCCAGAAAAACGCATGTCAAAAATGTTATAAATTGATTAGCATTTTAACGAGGGAAATAAGTATTTGACCCCTCTGCAAAACATGACTTAGTACTTGGTGGAAAAACCCTTGAGCCACTCCTTTGTTGCCTTCACGGCGTAGTGTGTTACCAATTGTTTTCTTGGTGACTATGGTCCCAGCTGCCTTGAGATCATTGGCAAGATCCTCCTGTGTAGTTCTGGGCTGATTCCTCACCGTTCTCATGATCATTGCAACTCCACGAGGTGAGATCTTGCATGGAGCCCCAGGCCGAGGGAGATTGACAGTTATTTTGTGTTTCTTCCATTTGCGAATAAACGCACCAACTGTTGTTACCTTCTCACCAAGCTGCTTGGCGATGGTCTTGTAGCCCATTCCAGCCTTGTGTAGGTCTACAATCTTGTCCCTGACATCCTTGGAGAGCTCTTTGGTCTTGGCCATGGTGGAAAGTTTGGAATCTGATTGATTGATTGCTTCTGTGGACAGGTGTCTTTTATACAGGTAACAAACTGAGATTAGGAGCACTCCCTTTAAGAGTGTGCTCCTAATCTCAGCTCGTTACCTGTATAAAAGACACCTGGGAGCCAGAAATCTTTCTGATTGAAAGGGGGTCAAATACTTATTTCCCTCATTAAAATGCAAATCAATTTATACAATTTTTGACATGCGTTTTTCTTGATTTTTTGTTGTTATTCTGTCTCTCACTGTTCAAATAAACCTACCATTAAAATTACAGACTGATCATTTCTTTGTCAGTGGGCAAACGTACAAAATCAGCAGGGGATCAAATACTTTTCCCCCTCACTGTACACCTTAGACAAATACATTTAAACTCAATTTTTCACAATTCCTGGCATTTAATCCTAGTAAAACTTCCCTGTCTTAGGTCAGTTAGGATCACCACTTTATTTTAAGAATGTGTAATGTCAGAATAATAGTAGAGAGAAGGATTTATTTCAGCTTTTATTTCTTTCATCACATTCCCAGTGGGTCAGAAGTTTACATACACTCAATTAGTATTTGGTAGCATTGCCTTTAAATTGTTTAACTTGGGTCAAACGTTTCGGGTAGCCTTCCACAAGCTTCCCACAATAAGTTGGGTGAATTTTGGCCCATTCCTCCTGACAGAGCTGGTGTAACTGAGTCAGGTTTGTAGGCCTCCTTGCTCGCACACACTTTTTCAGTTCTGCCCACAAATGTTTTATAGGATTGAGGTCAGGGCTTTGTGATGGCCACTCCAATACCTTGACTTTGTTGTCCTTAAGCCATTTTGCCACAACTTTGGAAGTATGCTTGGGGTCATTGTCCATTTGGAAGACCCATTTGCGACCAAGCTTTAACTTCCTGACTGATGTTGGTTGCTTCAATATATCCACATAATTTTCCTTCCTCATGATGCCATCTATTTTGTGAAGTGCACCAGTCCCTCCTGCAGCAAAGCACCCCCACAGCATGATGCTGCCACCCCCGTGCTTCACGGTTGGGGTGGTGTTCTTCGGCTTGCAAGCCTTCCCCTTTTTCCTCCAAACATAACGATGGTCATTATGGCCAAACAGTTCTATTTTTGTTTCATCAGACCAGAGGACATTTTTCCAAAAAGTACGATCTTTGTCCCCATGGGCAGTTGCAAACCGTAGTCTGGCTTTTTTATGGCGGTTTTGGAGCAGTGGCTTCTTCCTTGCTGAGCGGCCTTTCAGGTTATGTCGAAATAGGACTCATTTTACTGTGGATATAGATACTTTTGTACCTGTTTCCCCCAGCATCTTCACAAGGTCCTTTGCTGTTATTCTGGGATTTATTTGCACTTTTCGCACCAAAGTACGTTCATCTCCTTCCTGAGAGGTAAGATGGCTGCGTGGTCCCATGGTGTTTATAGTTGCGTACTATTGTTTGTACAGATGAACGTGGTACCTTCAGGCGTTTGGCTGACTGATTTCTTTAGATTTTCCCATGATGTCAAGCAAAGAGGTACTGAGTTTGAAGGTAGGCCTTCAAATACATCCACAGGTACACCTCCAATTGACTCAAATTATGTCAATTAGCCTATCAGAAGCTTCTAAAGTCATGACATCATTTTCTGGAATTTTCCAAGCTGTTTAAAGGCACAGCCAACTTCTGACCCACTGGAATTGTGATACAGTGAATTATAAGTGACATAATCTGTCTGTAAACAATTGTTGGAAAAATTACTTGTGTCATGCACAAAGTAGATGTCCTAACCGACTTGCCAAAACTATAGTTTGTTAACAAGAAATTTGTGGAGTGGTTGAAAAACGAGTTACCAACCTAAGTGTATGTAAACTTCCAACTTCAACTGTATCTTCCGATAAAATATATGTCGTTATAATTAGTGAGATGCATAAACAATGTGCCTTAGGTTACTCCCTCCAAGTAACAATAGTAGATCATTCTATGACCTTTCAACTTTGACCTTTTAACTGACCTTAAATGTTGTGTTGTTTACAGATGCAGGAGCCTGTAAACGTTGCCATGGACGACTTAGACCACAGTGTGCACATAGCGAAGCGTGACTGGGACAGCTTCTATGAGGAGAGTGACGAATGCTCCTTACCACAGCCTGAGCTTGCAGGTTCAGATGATTCAGGCCTCAGTGAAGAGGAACCAGAGGATTCTGGGAGTCCAGTGTGTCTGGCCCTAGACAGTGTCCAAGATGACCTACAGCAGCAGAATGCAGCTCCAAACACTGCCATCCCATCTCAGCCCAGTGTTGAGGAAGAGGCTACCCTCAGAGAGGATATCATCTGCACAGACCTGCCTGTAAAGGTTGGTGAGAGTGGCTCTGAAGAAACACAACTAAATGATCAATTGAGCTTAACTAAGGAGGAGGGTGGTGCTCTCCTGGACAGAGTCTCTGACAACTCCCCCCAGCCACAGAAAGAGTCAGATTCGGGTTACTATAGAGAAAACAGCCTCACCACAAGAGTTGGTAGAAGAAACCCCAGGAGAGACTGCAGATCACAGAGGAGATCTTGAGGAAACAGGACGTAACAAATAATCTGGGTTCAGTTCCAGAATCTTCTAGCAACACGTGCATAGCTAACAGTGACTTCTCTGGAGCCTGTGATGTCTCAAATAACAAAGGATTCGATGGAGAGCTGCCAAGCAAAGGTGGCACTAGTACATTAAATGCCATCTCAACACCCCTCACCCTACTGTCTGTGCCACTGTCACCCAAGGACCTGTACCCAGCACATAATATCAGCCAGGAGCAGCTGGACTGCCACACCGAAACAGCTAGAGGTGCCAAGGGGAGAGAAAGAGCGCTGGTTTGTGACCGTGAACGACAGTCCAGCGCTGCACAGAGTGCATGCTGCCACCGCGGTAAAAATAAATAAAAACAAGCTTATAGGATTTCGGTCCCCAGGGTTCACACGTCAGAGGGGCCAGACCCTCCCTCTGAGAGTGAGTCAGAGAGAGAGAATGGATGAATCTGACGGACAGGAGACTATGAAGGAGTTTATTACACAGTCATGCTATAGGTCAAAGCTACTGCCAAACACTTATACGTTCCCAATTAATTCTCAAAGAGAGGTCTATATAGAGTCTCCCAAAATACATGTAAGCTATTCAGAGTTACCGCCTCTCTTTTCAGAGTTAAGCTCTTCATCATCATTCAGGGAAGAAGCTAACCTTTCTACGGAGTTGCCCTTGGAGTGGGATGACTCTTCAGAAGTGCTCACCCCAGAGTCATTAATTGAGGGGAACAAACAGGAAAATTACAACTCAGCGCTTGACTTAAAAAGGTCAGTAGACCATCCATTATCCAAACTACAATACCTATTATTTGCACAGAGCGACAAAGATTCACCACAACTTCACCGCTCTGATTCTGGGGACTCAAACGAGGAAGTGGAATTATTTTACACCACCAGCACCAGCTATGATTCTGAAGAGGAGTATGTCTCAGCCACAGAAATGGAGGATACCGCTTATACTAACACACTCTCCAGTAAGATAGATTCCACTCTCTCTGCCCGCACATATTGTCACTGCTGATTCAAAGCCACTAATTGAGGAAGATGGTCTAAATTGCCCCGTGCCGCCACAATGTGAAGGTTATGAAAACACAGCTGACCAGCCTGTCAAAACATGTCCCTCCACTGGTCGTGGTAACAGTAACCCAATATCAGAGGAAAGCTCAGTGCCGGCTGATTCAAATGACAGCCCTGACTCCCACATGACTTACGAGACACCATCACACAGAGTTGGTGGGACACTTACAGACTGTGAACATTTAGCAAAGACTAATATATCAGAAGATGAACCTACACCTTTTCCGATGTCTCTTCCTCTTTCCGAAGTAACAGTGACCCTAACAGAAACAGAAAGTAGACCAGAGTCACCCTGCTCAGAAACCATCTCACAGGAGGAAGAAACAGACTCCAGTACTGGCCTGGCCACTCCTGTTGACTGTGAGGAGCTTGCAGCACTATCCTCCTCCTCTGAAGACAGCATCCCCAATAAAGAAGGCATCTCCAACACCAGCCTCCTCCCAGAAGCTACATGCCTGAAAGGGATCAAGAAGAGCAGAAGCATGCACAACATTGTGCAAGCTCTGGAGGTAGCTAAGGTTAAGATGCAGCTGAAAGACATGCACAATGAACAAGCTCTGGAGACAGCGGAGGTAGAGCTGCATCTACAGGATATGAACAATGTACAACATCTTGAGGTTGAGATGCAGCTAAAGGACGTGCCCATTGTACAAGCTCTAGAGGTTGAGATGAAGCCCTGGAGGTACCGGAGGTAGAAATGCAGCTGGAGGAGTTTGGCAATGAACAAGCTCTGGAAGTAAAAGACATGCACAATGTCCAAGCTCTGAATGACGAGATGCAACCAAAATACATGCACAATGTACAACCTCAGGAGGTTGAGATGCAACTACCAGAGATGCACAACGTACAAGCTCTGGAGGTCAAGATTGAGCTGAAGGACATACTCAAGGAAGCTGAAAATAGATTATTTCTCAACAGCTGTCAGGACTTGGACTTGACGGAGTATCATGTTCTTGCAATGATTGATAGGATGAGCAGAACTCCCTCCCCAATTCTACCCAAAACAGACAAACTGGACAAGCTCTTCAGAATCACCTTCCCAGCATGATATGAATACCTGTCCACAGAGGATGTCCTCTCTGCCTATGAGTCCCTGATGTCTATGTCAGTGCCTGAGACCTGTTACAACTACACTCTCTCTAAGTACGGAGCTGGAGTGTTATTTCCTCCCCTGGTCCAGAAGTCACAGCATGGTGAAGGAGAACCAGTACCCATCTTTTCTTGCTCCCGCTCGGCTGTACGAGACCTCGTGTTCCCAGAACTGGAAGATCTTCTCTTCCCACTACAAGACGCATATCTCGAATCTGAGGAGGAGGATGACTGCTGCCCTATCCAAGTGGTCACTCACTCAGACATCCAGGCCAAAGAAGCTGTGTTGCCCTCCTCCTCTTCTGCAGCCCCAGATGGATACCCACCAAACACTAATTTCTATAGCCAGAGAGGCTGGAGAGGGAATTGGAAGAGCCTGCTCTCCCTGAGGAGGATCCGCTTCCCAGGAAAGGGCAGCACTAACAGTAGCTGGTGCTGGAGGTCTGGTGCCTGGGTGTCTCCAGCTCTGGGTCAGGCTCAGAGGGCTCGGCCACCTCCCATTACACCAAGCAGCCAAGCTGATACAATTGTCAACGCGGCAACCAGGACCTCCCATCCTCCTCCTGAGGTCATTCACCTCTGACACCAGATCTTCAGACAGCTTTCAGAGAAGCAAAGACGTTTCAAAAGCCTACAGACAACCGTCTCAGTATCAAGTAAGTGTTATCCAGTGATGTGAGATGGTTGATCCTTTACATGTAGTACACACACATACATGTGTACATACAAATTCTATACATTACACGTGTCAATCAATGTATTTTCATTGACTCATCCCTGTATATGTTTTCCCTCCGATAGAGAAACATGGCATCCTCTTCTCGCTGAGGCAGTCTGACATGTGTCTGGTCTGCATTGCCTTATTGCCTTTGCCTCCTGGGTACTGAGGTCAGCTGATCCTATGGCTGTAGACACATGGAAAGCAGGTAAATCCATCCAACCACTTACTATTGCTAAAATAACACTGTCATTAATTATCATTGGTTTTTATATCCGTTTTCTATTGTATTGATTATTTTCTTATGTATACAAATGGAATATAGATAAGTTGATACTGTATATCTTCAACTACACATGTATAATTGTAGCCAGGGTGACAGTATGTTTCTGCTCTTGCCAACTCCTTGTGGAATTGCCATGCCAGGACAAACAGAACTGGGAACAGGCTAGTATAATTGTGGGACAGATTCCAAATACTGTAAATACCTCTCTCTGAACTATTGTTCAGCTCTGCTGGCAAATGTGAGTGCCATATCTGCCATCCAGTATCTTCGACGCTATGTGGTGAAGAGAAGGGAAGCTGAAGACCTGAATGATTCAACTGAAGACGAGGCATGATATGTAGCTATTGCTTCTAGGGGAACCTTTCCAGACATTTTCACTTGGGGACCATAGCAGTGTCATAACAGTTTCATACAATGAAGTAACACTAACAACCATTTATATCTCAATCACAGTAGTAATTGCCATATCATAACATAGTGTTTACTGGCAGTACAGTAGTGGTTAAGTTCATAAGTATTGTAATCCACATGGGCCGGTTTTCCGGATACAGATTAAGTCTAGTCCTGGACTAAAAAGCATGCTTAATGGAGAATTTCCATCGAAAGTGCTTTTTAGTCCAGGACTAGGCTTAACCTGTATCTGGGACACCGGCCCCTAATGTTTTACTCAACGGGAAGCTTGAGCTGGTAAATTATATATGTTTTGACAGTGAGATATTTTCTAATTTAGTGATTATATGTTCAGTGTGGAAACATTTCTCAGATTGCATTAAACACACCTAAATAGCAGGGCTAACATTTTTCTGGGTGAACAGAGGACCATAGAGACTACTAGACTGTGCAGTATGTTAATGTCACTTTACAGCAACATGGTAGGCATGACTATGTGGTGCCTTCATGTGTGTAAAACAGAGTATTTGGTTCTTGTAAAATGCATTTGTGGTGATTTAATTCAGTCAGCATGTCAGTTTTTAAGTTTTATCAAGAACATTTGGAAGGCAACCAGAGAGCCTATTTTTGATAAATGTGCAATGTAAAATCAATGCAATTTGTATGTAGAAAGTCCATGTGGAGTATGTGTCAGGGTTAAGTGTAAGTCAAAGATGTCAGTCAGGCAGGTAGGTTTATGTTAATGCTTGGAGAGAAGCTACACCATGTCTTTGCTTTGTCATGCATGCAAACGGGAGAAATTTGTGTACTTGTACAAAATATTATGTACTTGTAAAAGGGATTTTAAAAAATAATGTGAATGTACATGGTCAACACAAATGGTGTAGGCCACTTCTATGCAACAATTATATCAAATACACTATATACACAAAAGTATGTGGACACCCCTTCAAATTAATGGATTCGGCTAATTTCAGCCACACCCGTTGCTGACAGGTGTATAAAATCAAGCACACCGCCATGCAATCTCCATAGACAAACATTGGCAGTAGAATGGCCTTACTGAAGAGCTCAGTGACTTTCAACGTGGCACCATCATAGGATGCCACCTTACCGACAAGTCAGTTCGTCAAATTTCTGCCCTGCTAGAGCTGCCCCGGTCAACTGTAAGTGCTGTTATTGTGAAGTGGAAACGTCTAGGAGCAACAACGGTTTAGCCGTGAAGTGGTAGGCCACACAAGCTCACAGAACGGGACCCCCGAGTGCTGAAACGCATAAAAATCGTCTGTCCTTGGTGGCAACACTCACTACCGAGTTCCAAACTGCCTCTGGAAGCAACGTCAGCACAAGAACTGTTCGTTGGGAGCTTCATGAAATGGGTTTCTATGGCCGAGCAGCCACACACAAGCCTGAGATCACCATGCGCAATGCCAAGAGTCAGCTGGAGTGGTGTAAAGCTCACCGCCATTTGACTCTGGTGCAGTGGAAACGCATTCTCTGGAGTGATGAATCACGCACCATCTGGCAGTCCGACGGACAAATCTGGGTCCTGACCTCAACACAGAGCCCTGACCTCAACCCCGTCGAACACCTTCAGGATGAATTGGAACGCCGACTGCGAGCCAGGCCTAATCGCCCAACATCAGTGCCCGACCTCACGAATGCTCTTGTGGCTGAATGGAAGCAATTCTCCACAGCAATGTTCCAACATCTAGTGGAAAGCCTTCCCAGAAGAGTGGAGGCTGTTATAGCAGCAAAGGGGGGACCAACTCCATATTAATGCCCATGAGTTTGGAATGAGATGTTCGAAGAGCAGGTGTGAGATGTAATCTACACCTCCATTAGGCTGATGGAAATCATCATTATTTTGTTTAATGATTTTCAATTTAAGTGTCATTATTTCTATATAGCCTAAGCTTTCTCGTTCTGAACTTCTAACGCGAGTGGGACAGGTGTGGCTTCGTGACAATGATCAAGAACAGCTGCTCACCGATTTGACAGCTCCAAAGCAGTTATACCACAGACACCGCCAAAACATCAGATATGCGGGTGTCGGCTATAGCCGGTGAACGCTTGATCTGATTGAATCTAGGCCTAAAGACCTTGATTCGCAAGTGATCCTACTGAAACAACAGTTTCACTGAGGAAGGGTGAGGATTGCCCCCCTTTTGGCCAAATGCTGTTACCACAAAAACAATTCCCCCAAAAGGTCTATCCTCATAAACAGCATCCATACATACAGAGGGTATAGTTTGAACAACACATTTTATCATGTTATTGCAGAATTATTTATTCAAATAAATATGCAATGCATACATTTTGTTTTTCCATATTATTTCACATAAATATTCAAACAGGGTTTGTCCATGGTAGGGATGCCAAGATTTAAATGTTTTTTCTGTTTCCTCTAACCAAAACAATATTAATATCTGGATCCACTGTTCTAAACACCGTTTTATGTCAGGGGTGACAATAGTGATACTCCAATTTATAATTGTCTGTGTTAACTCACTTTACTTTATAACGCTATATATTATGTGTGTATATAGCTAAATAATTTAACTTTATTGTGCCAGCTTGCAAGTCAAGAATTCACACCTAATATTCATAGTTAATAATATAGAATATTGAACATATATTATTTACAATCTAAAAAAATTACTGTATGTGTCAGACGTAGGTTAAATTGTGAAAACATGTTGAAATATATAAAACTTTAGAGTTTAGACAAATATTTTGCAGATATAGAATAAAATTAATCTACTATGCTTTTTTTGTTGTCTAAACACAAATTAACAACGCTATTGTAAGTTCTGATGAAAATCAAAGGGAAACAGTCATGCAAGGCTATTACAGTCAATCATCCAAACATCTAATATTAAATGTCATTCTGTACAAGGAGATCAGTCAGATTGTTTAGAAAGTAAAAGGATAGTCACCCCCTAATCAAAGTTTGTCAGATGTTTTCATAACTTCAAAAGTGAGCCATATTCCACACCATCTATTGTGTAGATCCTGCCCACTATATTGCATTAGGAGAAATCTAAAAGCTATAAAATCCATATTAAGTGGAAACATGTGTAACATCTACACAAAAAATTGCATGGAACATAGACTATGCTAATCTTTTATTTTATAACAGACCATTATTGAGATATGAAAAACTCTCACAAACTTTCATGATTTGGGGGTAAACAATCCCTTTAAGTGCTGAGCAAGAAACAAGCATTATGATCCACAAAGATTCTTAACTCTCAATTACATTTAGACTAATAGAAAAAGATAAACTAAGATTAGTTGTCGCATAATGTATCTCAAAAGTACACAGCATTACTATCTCTTTATACATTTCCATGGTGACTCACATCGTCAGGTGTCTCACGATGGCTTGTCACCTTCTTTCTTCAGACGGCTATGGAGGAAAATTATATTAATAAACTATTAATGTCAGCGCAATAGTTCATCAATAATCCAAGATCCCACTTTTGTCTAGTGATTTATGATTTCTCAATAAATGCTGATACATACAGTAACAGTCAAAAGTCTGGACACACCTACTCATTCAAGGTTTTTTTCTTTATTTTTAAAAAAAAAATTACATTGAAGAACAATAGTGAAGACATCAAAACTATGAAATAACACATATGGAATCATGTAGTAACCAAAAAAGTGTTAAACAAATCAAAATTGATTTTATATTTGAGATTCTTCAAATAGCCACCCTTTGCCTTGATGACAGCTTTGCACACTCTTGGCATTCTCTCAACCAGCTTCATGAGGTAGTCACCTGGAATGCATTTCAATTAACAGGTGTGCCTTCTTAAAAGTTAATTTGTGGAATTTCTTTCCTTCTTAATGCATTTGAGCCAATCAGTTGTGTTGTGACAAGGTAGGGGGGGTTTACAGAAGATAGCCCTATTTGGTAAAAGACCAAGTCCATATTATAACAAGAACCGCTCAAATAAGCAAAGAGAAATTACAGTCCATCATTACTTTAAGACATGAAGGTCAGTCAATATGGAACATTTCTTCAAATGTAGTCGCAAAAACCATCAAGCACTATGATGAAACTGGCTCTCATGAGGACCACCACAGGAATGGAAGACCCAGAGTTACCTCTGCTGCAGAGGATAAGTTCATTAGAGTTACCAGCCTCAGAAATTGCAGCCCAAATAAATGCTTCACAGAGTTCAAGTCACAGACACATCTCAACATCAACTGTTCAGAGGGGACTGTGTGAATCAGGCCTTCATGGTAGAATTGCTGCAAATAAACCACTACTAAAGGACACAAATAATAAGAAGAGACCTGCTTGGGCCAAGAAACACGAGCAATGGACATTAGACCGGTGGAAATGTGTCCTTTGGTCTGGAGTCCAAATTTGAGATTTTTGGTTCCAACTGCCGTGTCTTTGTGGGACGTGGTGTGGGTGAACGGATGATCTCTGCATGTGTAGTTCCCACCGTAAAGCATGGAGGAGGTGTTATGGTGTGGGGGTGCTTTGCTGGTGACACTGTCTGATTTATTTAGAATTCAAGGCACACTTAACCAGCATGGCTACCACAGCATTCTGCAGCGATACGCCATCCTATCTGGTTTGGGCTTAGTGGGACTATCATTTGTTTTTCAACAGGACAATGACCCAACACACCTCCAGGCTGTGTAAGGGCTATTTTACCAAGAAGGAGAGTGATGGAGTGCTGCATCAGAAGACCTGGCCTCCACAATCCCCTGACCTCCACCCAATTAAACCCCGTTTGGGATGAGTCGGACGGCAGAGTGAAGGAAAAGCAGCCAACAAGTGCTCAGCATATGTGGGAACTCCTTCAAGACTGTTGGAAAAGCATTCCAGGTGAAGCTGGTTGAGAGAATGCCAAGAGTGTGCAAAGCTGTCATCAAGGCAAAGGGTGGCTATTTGAAGAATCTCAAATCTCAAATATATTTTGATTTGTTTAACACTTTTTTGGTTACTAGATGATTCCATATGTGTTATTTCATCGTTTTGATGCCTTCCCTATTATTCTACAATGTAGAAAATAGTAAAAATAAAGAAAAACCCATTAATGAGTAGGTGTGTCCAAACCTTTGACTGTTACTGTAAATAAAAGCATTGGCTCCTTTAAAGTATTCACTGTGTTCAGGTGACATTTATTTTGAATAAAATTGAATATTAGCTCATCAATAATCAAGATCCAACTTTGTCTAGTGATTTCAATTTTTAAATAAATGCATAAATGAAAGCACTGTGTTCACGTAAACTGTTGTTGTCGTTGTTGTTCGGAGTTGGTAATCACCTCACCTGTAGTAATCCTCCTGTCCGGGCATAGGCCCCCCGTGTTGTAGGTGGTGGTGTCCGTGCAGCCACTGCTGCTCCATGGCCAGCCTCTGCAGCTCTGCTGACTGGGCGTGCATGGCCTGGAGCTGGTGGGCTGCAGACATCTGGGGGATGGGCCCCTGGAGCTCACGGGGGTACCCTGCTCCTGCAACAGCTGCATAGGCTGTTTGGATGTTGATCAAGGGGCACAAAACATCAGAGTGCGTCTCAGTCACCTCACAATCACAGAATTATAGTCTGAATACAGTGAATTGAATGTGTGTGTGTATGAGTGTGTGTTAAGGTTCCTCACCAAACAGTGGGTGTCGCAGCATGTCGTGGTCGTGGGGCAGGTCGTTGGGGAAGGGGAAGCGGGCCAGACGGGGCCCTGGAGCCAGGGGATCCAGAGGGTGGGGGCCATTACCTGGGTGACAGTAACACACATCATCTAATGAGGCAGGAGAACAAACAATATATAAATTAACACATTTCATAAACATCAGTTAATATTGGAAGGGGGACGAACAGTGCACACATATCAACTGATGACTACACTGGTAGGTATACAGAGTAATACAGTGAGGAGAGTCAGCTTCTTCTCTCAGCATTAAGACTATCAAACAACATTAAATAAGAATATAAAAAAAATATATAATACAAATCAAGTGTTCTTGTTTTTAAAACAATAATCAATTTGTGCTTATCCAGTACACACATATCCTGAAGATGTAACAAAACAAGACAGAATAGAAGTGTCCATACCCTCACCTTGGTTGAGTGGGTCCTGCTGGTGCAGGTGTAGGTGTGAGTGGATGTGGGAGTGCTGGTGGTGATGCGGCGTGACGTTGAGCATCTGCAGCCTGGCGGCCGGGTCGTTAGCCACAGACGCCATCCTCTCAGCATGGAGCCTCTCAGCAGTCAGTCGCTCAGCGTAGCTCAGCTCTGGACGCATCTGGGGCCCGGCCAGGGCCAGCGCCTGCCTCTCCCTCTCCAGGTGGTTCTGCATTACCGGGTGGAAGTGGCCAAAGGGGTGGTGGGGCGGCCCAGCGATGTGGGGCAGGGCCAGGGCTCCATGTCTGGCAAAGTGCTCCATGGGGTTGGCTGATGGATGCATGTTCTCCATCTCCGGGGGTTTGACCTCGAAGCCAGGCTTCATCCTCTCGCGGAGCTCCCTCTCCCGGAGGTTACGGAGCTCCCTCTCTCTCAGGCTGGGCTCGGCGGCGTACAGGCCGGGCATGTGGTAGGCCAGCAGAGGGTCCCCGGGGGACAGGGACACGAAGAAGGGGTGGTTGCGATTGGTGGGGGACATGACGTGGGGTCGGGCGTACTCACTGAGGGTGCGCAGGGCCGGGGTGTCGGGGCCGATGTAAGGGGGCACAGCGGCCACACTGGTGGGGGGCTGCTCGAAGGAGGAGCACATGTGGACCTGGCCGGACATTTGGACATCACTCATACGGCTGTCATGGGACGAGCTGGACGCTCTCTGGAAGAGAAAGAGGCCCATTTAGGTGGTTCAAATTTGCGAGAAAACAATGTATAGAGCCCTAGAGGTATCCAAAACATCCAACTGATAACATTGTTGTACTAGTATGTAATAATATCATTGATAACATTGTTGTACTAGTATGTAATAATATCATTGATAACATTGCTGAGATACACAGACATCACGTCAGTTATGTCAAAGAAAAAGAGGAATAGAGGGAATAGCACCACAGCATATTACTCACAGCATTTTTGTCTTCCTGCCTCTCCCTCTCCCTCTCCCTCTCCCTCTCCCTCTCCCTCTCTCTGTCCTTCTCCCTCTCTCGGGCGTTGTGCTCAGCCTCTCTCTTGGATCTCTCTACAGCCTCCTCTCTCTTCTTGGCCAGCTTGGACGAGGCCAGGGGAGTGAAGAACAGGTCTGTTCTGGAGCACGAGTTGTAGCCACGGTCCAGGTGTTTGAAAAACCTGAAATGAATCAAACAGCATATATAGCAATCACACAACAATATTGTTTGAGAACATATGTAATTCAGATGAACAACATCTGTTAACATTTTAGAAACACAAGGTCAACAATATGGCCACAATTAACTCTGTAAAGGAGGCCCATCTTACAGGACTGTCTGGAGTAATGTCATGCAGTAAGTACCGTGCTGATTGGCTTGCATGACTGGCGATGTTGACAACGGAAGGTTCTGGCGAGGGACTTCTGGGTGGAGGGGGCGGGCTCTCAGGCTCCTCACACTCATCCAATGGCTCCTCTTTAATCTGGACATGTGACCCTCCAATGCCAATGGGGTTTCCGGGTGAGGGGCGCAGGGAGGAGGAGGGCTGGAGACCAGAGACTGGACCCATGGTAGAGGGAGAGGAGGCAGAGAGGACAGGGTGCATGGTTGAGGGGGCAGAGGAGGGCAGGGAGGAGTGGGGGTGGGAGTGGCTGCCTCTGCCAGGGAGGTTCTGCAGCTGAGTGAGCACAGGAGGCTGGGGTGGGAGTCCCTGCTGCATGGGCAGGGACTGGGGCATGAGCTGGAGGGGGGGTGGAGGGGCACCGGGAGGGTGCTGGTTGGGCAGGGAGTTGAGGGGCTTCAGTGCTGGGGGAGGGGGCAGGTTGGACGGCATCTGGGGGAAAGGAGGAGCAAGAGAAGAAGAGAGGTGTGGTGGCTGCTTGTGAGATGGATGGATGGGTGTGGTTGGGGGTGGTTTGATTTGGGGCCCGGAGGTGAGGGGGAGGGCCTGGGGGAAGGTGGGTTCCCTGGGAAAGTGAGGAAGGGGTCGCTGGGGGTGGGGGCCCTGGGTGGGAGAACCATGGAGGGACAGGTGCTGGGTGGGAGGCAGAGAGCCAGGAGGAAGAAGAGGACCCTGGAATACAGGAGATGGAGGATGGAAGGCCTGTCCCAGCGGCGGAGGGAGGGGTGAGGGGCCAGCGAGAGGGTGAGAGGAGGGGGGTGGGGGTCGGCTGTGTGGGGGACTTGTCTGATAGCTAACTGACTGACCAGCCTGAGCAGAGGTGGCTGAAGGCTGGGGGGGCTCTAGGGAGGGGGGTGCCTGGGCCTGTACCTGGCCAGACTCTGCAGAGGGAGAGGTACCCTGGGGAGGCAGGGATGTGGTTGAGCCCGCAACCTGTGGTTGAGGAACAGTCTGTGGGGTCTGTGTTTCAGCCAGGGCAGCAGCAGGAGGGGCACTGACGGTCTCTACTGGCGCCTGGTGGGCACCCTGGTGCTGCTGGGCAGAGGAATCCGAGTCGCTCTCGTTGCCCTGGCGAGGGCTGGGGATGCTGGGGGAGGAGGAGCGGTTGTCCTGGTCGATGTCTTTGGTGTCGCTGCTGCCGTCGTCTTGGGCACTGCGGCTGTCTGAGCAGCTCTCCTCCTCCACCTCAACCCCTTCTGCCTCAGCCTCTCCATCGCCCTCCGACCGGCACTCAGCCTGTTCACCCTGAGAGGAGGACGGAGACACAAGGTTAGAATTGTTGGTGAGGGGAGGTTCTCATCATGCTAATGTTACACGAAAAGAGCCACTGGATAGATCTAGGCACACCCAACAAAGTAGCTCAGTGCAGGAAGATAAGACATTAACTGAAGAACAATGAGGCAACAAAAGTGATACGTTTCTGAGAACTGGTTTAGCACATTTTGCTTCTCTCTGATCTTGCACCTTTTAGCTGCCATTGCTTCACTATTGTCTTACACTCTGTCTCACCTGCTGTGTCTTGGTCCTTTTAGTTGGAGTTCTCTCAGGCTCCTCTGGGTCCTGGGCTGCACTCTCCCTGGAACGTTTAGTACTCTTTGGTAGGGGCGCCTCTTCCTTGATATTCTGTTGGATGGAAGGAATATAATTCACTTATTCCATTCAGTTCTACATGTATGTACAACATAGTAAAAAGTATTTGGACAAAGGGGAAGCCCTGGTCTGAACGGCAGAAATACAACTAGATGTTATGATTGTATATGATATTAGGTGTACTTAAATTCACAAATGCGCCATTACTGTGCATACAAATCTATATCCCTAACTTCAAAAAGAATATATGTGTGTGACTGTACCTTGCCAGGCTTCTTTGTGGAATCAGTCTTGTCTAAGCAGGAGGTTCTGGATGCGTTGGAGGTGGAGCTAGCCCCACTGGGGGCGGGAGAGGGATGGCTACTGGACTGCTGGTCTTCACTGGTAGGAGAGCCGGTCAGCCTCTTGTGGCCACTTCTTAGTGAAGACAACTGGTGAGAAATACAACTTGGAGTAAGTATTGAAAGAGATTATAACAACAATAGAGAGAGAAAGATAATGATGAGGGTGGTAGTGACTGACTGAGTGACTGAGAAAGAGAGGGAAAGAGAGAGGAGTGAGGGTGGAAGGGAGGAATACACTAGATGGGGCTAAGATGGGAGGTTCCCAGGCTTACCGGTGTTCTGCTGCGTCGCGTCCTCATGCCGTGCTTCCCGTTGCCATCCTCTTCCTCTTTGACAGGTTTGAACATGAAGGGAGGGTCAGCAGGCTTGGGGCCAGGCGGCAGGCGGCCATGTTTGTTGTAGTAGGTACGACAGGTGGTACACAGGAGGATGTTATCCCGGCCTCCGTGCTGCCAGTCCTTAGAGGCTGAAATTAAAGCAATGAATTGAATAAACTTTATTGATCACAAGAGGAGAAATTGTATTTGTCACCAACATAGGACACAGACATACAGTACATCAGAACCCATTGACCTGAGCACTGGTGGCTGGTGGAGCAAGTATGAACTGTACTTACTGGAAGTGGCACAGTGTCTACAGGTGCCCTGCTCGCTGTCTTCACTGTCCAGGTCCTCCTCACTGGCTGAACTTATGTCCACTGCAGGAGAGAGAAGAGATCAGATAAATACCCACTCCTATTGTGTTATCTACAGTTACTGGACTAGAAGATAGAAATAGGCCCTTAGTGTTCTACACACAGATTAAGCCTAGTTCTGGATTAAAAAGCATGCACATTTAGTCCAATAGGGGAGAGTGGGGTAAATTGAGTCAAAAGGGTAAATTGAGCCACCCTTGTTTTTAGGAAACCATACACATAATGTATAATTTGACCAAATATTTAGGAAGAGGTCTGTGAAGGAAGAAACCACATGGGGAAAAAAACGGATTTTCACCAAGTCAAATGAATTTATTGTGTAAGAGTTTTCATGATGCTTGTATCTAAACCAAAGTAGATAATTTTAAGATTGTTATAATCAGTTGGGGCCAACTCCTGGACAGTCTGTGCTGCAACGTGGCGTTGGTGGATGGAGCTAGACATGATGTCCCAGATGTGCTCAATTGGATTCAGGTCTGGGGAACGGGCGGTCCATAGCATCAATGCCTTCCTCTTGCAGGAACTGCTGACACACTCCAGCCACATGAGGTCTAGCATTGTCTTGCATTAGGAGGAACCCAGGGCCAACCGCACCAGCATATGGTCTCACAAGCGGTCTGAGGATCTCATCTCGGTACCTAATGGCAGTCAGGCTACCTCTGGCGAGCACATGGAGGGCTGTGCGGCCCCCCAAAGAAATGCCACCCCACACCATGACTGACCCACCGCCAAACCGGTCATGCTGGAGGATGTTGCAGGCAGCAGAACGTTCTCCACGGCGTCTCCAGACTCTGTCACGTCTGTCACATGTGCTCAGTGTGAACCTGCTTTCATCTGTGAAGAGCACAGGGCGCAAGTGGCGAATTTGCCAATCTTGGTGTTCTCTGGCAAATGCCAAACGTCCTGCACGGTGTTGGGCTGTAAGCACAACCCCCACCTGTGGACGTCGGGCCCTCATACCACCCTCATGGAGTCTGTTTCTGACCATTTGAGCAGACACATGCACATTTGTGGCCTGCTGGAGGTCATTTTGCAGGGCTCTGGCAGTGCTCCTCCTGCTCCTCCTTGCACAAAGGCGGAGAATTCAGTCCTGCTGCTGGGTTGTTGCACTCCTACGGCCTCCTCCACGTCTCCTGATGTACTGGCCTGTCTCCTGGTAGCGCCTCCATGCTCTGGACACTACGCTGACAGACACAGCAAACCTTCTTGCCACAGCTCGCATTGATGTGCCATCCTGGATGAGCTGCACTACCTGAGCCACTTGTGTGGGTTGTAGACTCCGTCTCATGCTACCACTAGAGTGAAAGCACCGCCAGCATTCAAAAGTGACCAAAACATCAGCCAGGAAGCATAGGAACTGAGAAGTGGTCTGTGGTCACCACCTGCAAAACCAGTCCTTTATTAGGGGTGTCTTGCTAATTGCCTATAATTTCCACCTGTTGTCTATTCCATTTGCACAACAGCATGTGAAATGTATTGTCAATCAGTGTTGCTTCCTAAGTTGACAGTTTGATTTCACAGAAGTGTGATTGACTTGGAGTTACATTGTGTTGTTTAAGTGTTCCCTTTATTCTTTTGAGCAGTGTATATATATATATATATATATATATACACTATATGACCAAAAGTATGTGGACAACTGAACATCTCATTCCAAATTCATGGGCATTAATATGGAGTTGGTTCCCCCTTTGTTGCTATAACAGCTTCCACGCTTCTGGGAAGACTTTCCACTAGATGTTGGAACATTGCTGCGGGGACTTGCTTCCATTCAGCCACAAGAGCATTCGTGAGGTCGGTCACTGATGTTGGCCGATTAGGCCTGGCTCGCAGATGGCGTTCCAATTCATCCCAAAGGTATTCGATGGGGTTGAGGTCAGGGCTCTGTGCAGGCCAGTCAAGTTCTTCCACACCGATCTCAAAAAAACATTTCTGTATGGACCTCGCTTTGTGCACAGGGGCATTGTCATGCTGAAACGGCCTTCCCAAAACTGTTGCCACAAAGTTGGAAGCACAGAATCGTCTAGAATGTCATTGTATGCTGTAGCGTTAAGATTTCCCTTCACTGGAACTAAGGGGCCTAGCCCGAACCATGAAAAACAGCCCCAGACCATTATTACTCCTCCACCAAACTTTACAGTTGGCACTATGCATTGGGGCAGGTAGCGTTCTCCTGGCATCCGCCAAACCCTGATTCATCCGTCGGACTGCCAGATGGAGAAGCATGATTCATCACTCCAGAGAACGCGTTTCCACTGCTCCAGAGTCCAATGGTGGCAAGCTTTACACCACTCCAGCCGACGCTCGGCATTGCGCATGGTGATCATAGGCTTGTGTGCGGCAGCTCGGCCATGGAAACCCATTTCATGAAGCTCTCGACGAACAGTTATTGTACTGACGTTGCTTCCAGAGGCAGTTTGGAACTTGGTAGTGAGTGTTACAACTAGGGCTGTTGCGCTGACTGTATTACCACCACACCGGCAGTCACAAGTCATGAAGGCAGTCAAATACCACATGACCGTTTAGTCACGGTAATTAGGGTTCTTCAAGCTCTGATGCTGCTGCTGGTCATTAGTAGCCTACCAAACTTGCTAACTGCCTGGTACTCAGCACTCTATTGTCCCTCTAATCACTCTGACATCAATGCAAATCTAATCAAAAATCAAACACTTCATGAGAGCTCATGAGCTCATGTTGCACAACATTTCTATAGGCTATGCAATTGCGGGAGAAAACAGAGTGATGGCCGCTAATAATAAGAGGAGGATCCCATCAGCTTTCTATAGGCTAGGCCTACTATATTTATTTCTCAACTTTCCTAACTTTAAGCACATTGCTTATATTTACAACAGGAGTATAGCCTACCTGGTTGGCATGAAAATAAACCACGGGGAAAAGCGTCTTACATTCGCTATTTAAGTGCATAGATGACATGTATTTTTTCCACTGGCCCTGCTTCGATACAGGTACATGATAATGGTCCATTCTAAATCAAAACAAATGTCACACATATATTATTTAGTATATGTAATGACAAGATTAAATCAAGAATAGTCTGATGGGTGACAATATTAGCCTATCACTTGTGAATTATATATTATCAGTTGTAAATGATGCCCAGCATAAGAAACAAAGCCTTTTTTTTTGTGACTTTTTCTAATCATAATCGCACACCTCATGTATATGTTTTAATAAGGTTTGTATCACAACTAAAGTGGCCAAATGACTTCTTAAAATTAAGCACATTAATCCGTTTTACAAGGGGTGTAGATTCTAACTGAGTTTCAAGTTTGAGGAAGATAATTTTCACCATTAAAATACACCTTTATAATAAAAGCATTACATGCATAATTGCATTTGCGGTCACTTTTGATAATGGTGTTTTCCGCTAATGGAACATTCACGCTTATAGCCTACTACCATGTGTGCATTGCTGCGCTTATAATGTGAAGAAATAGCCTAATCAAATCAAATCAAATGTTATTTGCCACATGTGCCGAATACAACAGGTGTAGACCTTACAGTGAAATGCTTACTTACAAGCCCTTAACCAACAATGCAGTTTTTTAAGAAGAAAAAAATAGTTAAGTAAAAAATAGATAAGTAAAAAATAGAAAATAGCAAATAATTAAAGAGCAGCAGTAAAATAAAATAACAGTAGGGAGGCTATATACACAGGGGGGTACCGGTACAGAGTCAATGTGCGGGGGCACCAGTTAGTCGAGGTAATTTAGGTAATATGTACATGTGGGCAGAGTTAAAGTGACTATGCATAAATAATAAACAGAGTAGCAACAGTGTAAAATGTGGTCCTCTGTAGCTCAATTGGTAGAGCATGGCGCTTGTAACGCCAGGGTAGTGGGTTCGATCCCCGGGACCACCCATACGTAAAAATGTATGCACACATGACTGTAAGTCGCTTTGAATAAAAGCGTCTGCTAAATGGCATATTATATTATATTATTATAAAAGAGGGGGTTGGGGTGGGGTGGGGGGGCAATGCAAATAGTCTGGGTAGCCATGATTAGCTGTTCAGGAGTCTTATGGCTTGGGGGTAGAAGCTGTTAAGAAGCCTTTTGGACCTAGACTTGGCGCTCCGGTCCCGCTTGCCGTGAGGTAGCAGAGAGAACAGTCTATGACTACGGTGGCTGTAGTCTGACAATTTTTAGGGCCTTCCTCTGACACATAGTTTATCAACATTTTAAGCTAAACGTTCTAATCTGTTGCGTCAGCCACATTGTATAAAAAAAGGTTTTTTGATGCTAGTGGTTGTATCAATTTGGGATCTATCACATCCCACAACTGTCTCAGACTATGTTTGGAATATTTATTTCTCGCACAGAATAGAATAGGTTGACTTTTGTACTATGGGGGATAGCAGATTCACATAGGCTAGTGCTTTTGCTGTTTGTTAGGCCTACTCATCTTGTTGGCTGACCAAAATTAAATGTGGACAGTTCTTCCAGTATCTTCAATATGCACCTCGGAATTGGATAAAGACGCGCGCAGTTGCGTCCCCGATGAACTGTCTTCACTTGTAGCCTGTGAGAAAGCCCCGATCATGTGACGGAGAGCCATGTGAATGAGAGGCACTTCAGATTGCGCAGCACACTCAGGGAGAAGGGCACAACGCAGCACTCTGAGCCGCAAAAGGCATGGATTATTTTAGGGTGCATTACGGCCACAAAGGGGATGCCGCTGTGAAATTCGAGGCATTATCAACTGCTTGTCAAATTGTGAATGAGAGACTATTGGAGTGTGTACAGCCTGCGCAAAAAAACAAAGCAGAGCTCATGCCTTTCAAGCGACTTTTTCAAATCATCATTAGAGTCTCATCATGCAGCCTTACAATATATTAAAAATCAAAACATATAGCCCAACATTTGTAGATGTTGGGCTTCCAAGCATCTGCCTCTAACCCTAGGAAGCTCTTTGCCACATTCTCCTCCCTGCTGAATCATCCTCTCCACCCTCTCCGAGCTGGGCATCTCCGGCGCGGCTCACTCTTGGATTGCGTCCTACCTGACCGGTCGCTCCTACCAAGTGGCGTGGCGAGAAGCTGTCTCCGCACCACGTGCTCTCACCACTGGTGTCCCCCAGGGCTCAGTTCTAGGCCCTCTCCTATTCTCGCTATACACCAAGTCACTTGGCTCTGTCATATCCTCACATGGCCTCTCCTATCATTGCTACGCTGACGACACACAACTAATCTTCTCCTTTCCCCCTTCTGATAACCAGGTGGCGAATCGCATCTCTGCATGTCTGGCAGACATATCAGTATGGATGACGGATCACCACCTCAAGCTGAACCTTGGCAAGACGGAGCTGCTCTTCCTCCCGGGGAAGGACTGCCTGTTCCATGATCTCGCCATCACGGTTGACAACTCCGTTGTGTCCTCCTCCCAGAGTGCGAAGAGCCTTGGCGTGACCCTGGACAACACCCTGTCGTTCTCTGCTAACATCAAGGCGGTGACCCGATCCTGTAGGTTCATGCTCTACAACATTCGGAGAGTACGACCCTGCCTTACACAGGAAGCGGCACAGGTCCTAATCCAGGCACTTGTCATCTCCCGTCTGGATTACTGCAACTCGCTGTTGGCTGGGCTCCCTGCCTGTGCCATTAAACCCCTACAACTCATCCAGAATGCCGCAGCCCGTCTGGTGTTCAACCTTCCCAAGTTCTCTCACGTCACCCCGCTCCTCCGCACACTCCACTGGCTTCCAGTTGAAGCTCGCATCTGCTACAAGACCATGGTGCTTGCCTACGGAGCTGTGAGGGGAACGGCACCTCCGTACCTTCAGGCTCTGATCAGTCCCTACACCCAAACGAGGGCATTGCGTTCATCCACCTCTGGCCTGCTGGCTCCCCTACCTCTGCGGAAGCATAGTTCCCGCTCAGCCCAGTCAAAACTGTTCGCTGCTCTGGCACCCCAATGGTGGAACAAGCTCCCTCACGACGCCAGGACAGCGGAGTCACTCACCACCTTCCGGAGACATTTGAAACCCCACCTCTTTAAGGAATACCTGGGATAGGATAAAGTAATCCTTCTATCCCCCCTTACCCCAACCCCCAAAAAAAAAAAAAAAAACATTGTAAAGTGGGTATCCCACTGGCTATAAGGTGAATGCACCTATTTGTAAGTCGCTCTGGATAAGAGCGTCTGCTAAATGATGTAAATGTAAATGTAGATCAACTAAAGTTACATTAATAACTCTAAATTAAGCACATAGAAGTACCTATTTCTTTGTTAACCGCTCAACACAGAATAGCCACATGTGCGCACTCCCTCAAATCGTTTGGAGAAGATATTTATATTTTATTCAGCTTTGTTCAATTGTATTCTTTATACTATAAAATAATGCCACGGAATTATAAGCAAATCTTGTCTGCTAAATGAACTAGTGTTGCCCACAGCCATTTGGCATAGCCACATCAGGACCTAACATAAGGACAACTCAGAGTATGCTATTCTTTTCTTCTGAAATAGACTACATTTTCTTCATATCATGCTTCTTTAGACCTGTCTAAAATAAAACATGGATTTATTGTGAAGGTGTAGGCTATATTACATGGATTTATTAGACTTTTTAAAATGGCTTGTAGGCTATGTGTTGAAGCCAGGAGATGCTAAATGTGTTTATGTTAATTAACGGTCAATTACCGTGAGACCGACAGTTATTTGGGGCGGCAGGTAGCTTAGTGATTAAGAGCGTTGTGCCAGTAACCGAAAGGTCGCTGGTTCTAATCCCCGAGCCGATTAGGTGAAAAATCTGTCGATGTGCCCTTGAGCAAGGCACTTAACCCTAATTGCTCCTGTAAGTCGCTCTGGATAAGAGCGTCTGCTAAATTACTAAAATGTAATGTAAATGTATTTGCTTGACAATCACCGGCTGATGAAATTTAGTGACCGCCACAGCCCTAGTTGCAACCGAGGACAGACCATTTTTACGCGCTACGCGCTTCAGCGGCCCCGTTCTGTGAGCTTGTGTGGCCTACTACTTTGCGGCTGAGCCGTTGTTGCTCCTAGATGTTTCCACTTCACAATAATAGCACTTACAATTGACCAGGGTAGCTCTAGCAGGGCAGAAATTTGACGAACTGACTTGTTAGAAAGGTGGCATCCTATGACGGTGCCACGTTCTTTTGTATATATAGTGTATATCTTTGTTAGAAAGAATACTATATTTTCCTTGACTGAGTGATGCTGAATGTAAAAAATAGCTCCACTTACCCCACTATCCCCTACTAGTCCTAATCTGTGTCAGGGAACCCGGCCATAAAATAAGTTAAATCTTTGAGGAATTGAAAACCCCTGGCACTCACTGGATTGGGACCGGGAGGGGGTGTTCACAGTGGCAGCGGCGGCGCGAGTCTTGGCCTTGCGTGAGGACGGCTGTCTACGGTGCTGACGGTATGGCCGCGTGCCTGCAGCCTCAGGCGTCTTCTTCCAGTGGTAGTAGAATGTGATCAACTCCCCCTGCCAACAACACAACACGTGATTTAAGAAGAGGGCACAGTGTGCAGATTCCAATGAAGATGAAGATACAGATATTGAATTTGAGTTGCTGTAGTGTGTTACAGGTTTTGGTTTTTCCATTTATGTTTTGAGGTTGGACTTTAGCACGTATAGCACGTTAGCACGTAGGGCGCACCGATTGGTGTCACATCGTTAGTCAGTATGTGTTACACATGTGCTGGTTGCCGTCTCATTAGTCGGAAGGTGTTTCACCTGTGCTGTCCCTGGTGATATTTAAGAGTTGCTGGCCCAGTGCCCCAGTGGTCTTGAGAGATGTGGAGGGTCAACACCTTTAGTTGGCGCTCTCTATTTGATTTCTAGAAAAACATTCCTTTGTCTGATCTTCCATGTTTTCGTGTTGCTCCACCTTTTCGGTTTGCTTCCTGTCTTTAAGTTTGGTGTGGGTTTTTCTTTTGTTTGTCTCTTCTTGGACAAATTTTGTTGGCGCTCATGGTGGGTGTCTTTTAGGTTCCAGTTGTTGTTGCTAGTCAACTTTCAGTGGACACCCCCATGAGTATCTTTCAGAACCCCTCCTAAAACCCCACCTGTTTCGTTTTGGTTATTGTCAGTGACTGTTTGAGTGAAATGATTTGGTTTTCTTGCTGGGGAACGTAACAAGTATGTCAACAAATACACCAAATCAGAAGGAACCACTGACTGCATTGCAAACAGTTAGGTATGTTGATTGTGTGTATAGTTATGTCCAGTTACATCTGTCTGTTATGTCTAGACAGACATAAGAGACAGTATGATAGTAAAATATATTACACCAGGTGTTTTCATTTACCGTTTTCTTGTTGGGCAGAAGCTCTTTGCGAATCCTGAAGAAATTCTTGCCGTACTGTCTCAAACCTTTGATGAACCGCTTCTGTTGATTGTAAAGTGATTGTGGGGGAAATAAAAACAAACAGTCAACATAGTTCCCAAACATATGATATGTGCAATATACCATGCAGTGTAAATGTGTTTCATATTGTTTCACTATTGTCTATGTTACACAATGGCCATAATACATATTGAACATGCATAGCATTGTTGCTGGGAGTAACCCGATGTAACCACAGAGCAGCCCTAAGAACACATAGGGCCATATTCTGTCTTGGAATTTGAGCGGTTAACTAAACATCAAGGAATGATTTATGCAAAAGTCAAGAGTTACAACGCTCATCTCAACTCTAAATCGGGCCGTAGTGCCTAAAGTTAAACATTGTCTTTGGACCTGAAGTAAGCATGGTGCAAGGCTGCCTTACCACATCATCTTCTGACCAACATTTCTCAATGAGTTTGGGTACAGGTTTCTTCACTAGGCGCTGGAGAGCTTTAGCTGCATCGTAGCGGCTGGCGTGTAACTGTAGAGGGAGGGAGACAATCACAGATCTACTGAGAAGGGTTCAAGATCTTATTCGTAAAAATATATTGTTTTTACAATTGTACACGTGATATTTTTTTATAAAAACATTTCTCTACAATGTAAAAAAATATAAAAAATATAAAAAATAATAATAGATTATTTTCAAAAATAGAAAACATAATACATGAAAAAGGTAAAAATGAAATGATCTCATTGTTCTATTTCATATTCCCATTTAAATGCAGAAAAGTATTCCTGCTCACCATGTTCAAAGCGTTGAGTGTGGTGTCGTCACGAGAGGCCGCCAAACACCCGTCCTCTGTGGATCCTCCGTCACACATCCCTGCAAACGCTGCCATGCTCCTTCAATCAGGAAGAGACAGAGAAGATAAATAAATCCTGCTGTGCAGTCAGTCAGGATGACAAACATGACAAACATTGTGCACTACAGCCGCCTACAGAAGCGTTTTGTAATGACATTATCTTTAACAATAATGACCTGACAGGCTAGCTAGAAGAACTCTGATAGGACTTTATACTAAATGACAACTAAAAACCAGCAGCAGTCACACCTCCTTGATATGCTCATCAAGCTGAAACGATTATGTTCTGCACACAACTTAATTACCATAATAACGCACTTCACTCTTACTCTCAACACCAGTGTTATGCAACGCTGACAGACACCAGGTTTTGTATGAATCCCATCCGTCGTTAAATCTGGCAGGGTTCTTATGCACCATTCATCACACAAGAGATACAGTATGAGTGTAGCCTGGTCCCAGATCTGTTTGTGCTGTATAGCCAACAACAACCACAGATCTGGGACCAAGCTAATATGAGTGCTGCTGAGTCAACACTAACCTGGCAGCTCTGAGGTACATGAGGAGGTCACAATCATTGACCCCTGGCATCCACACCAGCTCTTCATTCTCTGTCTGGGTCTGCACACCAAACACAGGGCGTGGTTGCAGCTCAGGGAGCTTAGCCTGCATACGCACAAATAATACAGACAGATAAATACCATGTTAGTCTCACTGTCACAGACAATTTACTATAGTGATATGATATATACATACAGACAAATATATGACAGGTTATGACAGTAAGATAGTTAATGACATACTGTATGTATCATGTAGCTCTCAGATTTTGCAACACTAAACCAATGTAGATTGTCGAAGGCATACCGGTACTGCTCTATGGTATGGTCTCAAATGGGCAATACATTAGAGAGTGACATCCTGCTTAAAGGGGGTTAATGGACTATTACCTGATGACTTGATCCCACTCTGATCTCCCCCTGGGTGCTATTCAGGCTCCTGGAAATAGGGATAATTCAGTTATAACATATAACAGTTAGATATAACATTACATTGTTATATTATTATGTTATTGTACATTTCAGAACATGAATTATCCTCTATGTTATCATATTTGCAAATGATTTGAACAGAAGAAAAATAAATCAAGAAACATTTGATTAGATAATCATTGAAAAGGAGAAGGCACAACGCTTGCTCACCATTAAAAACTCATTGTTTTATTCAAGTCACATCTTGACAAAATGTCATTATCAATTGTAGTATCAATCAAGTGAACAGTGTAATGGCAGGTAGGTAGGTAGCCCAGCGGCTAAGGAGTTGGAGCATTAGCTGAAAGGTTGACTGTTTGAATCCCGAGCTGGGCGCTAGAAATAAAGGGGGGATTTGATCTGACAACTGAAGGGCTGCTGGGTTCACATCTTAACAACAATCCCCTACCGTTGGGCTTTTGAGCAGGGCCCTTAACCCCACAACATGCTCTTCATCCAGGGGCGCTGCACTGTAGCTTGACCCTGTGCTCCTCTCAACTGTGTGTGATGTGTGCTATCAAATTTCTGTTGTTTGCTGTAACATATGGACAGTTAAATTGTATTGCATTGTAATGTTTATAACCATATAACAATGTTAATGTTCTGTTCTAAAACAAAAAAACTAGTACTAGATACATCCCTTTTTCTGACATACTAGTACATGCATATGCAAAAGGGATTATGCATATTTAACACAAGTCACAAGTGTAAAGGCAAATACACTATCTGAGCCTAGCAATATTTTAATCCCTAATCTAAATATTTCATAATATTACGGAGTTAATCTTGCATTTCAATTGGGCAGCGGTTTCCTTTAATCCCGCCCATCCATCATTGAAAGCCAATCTGAATGCGGCTATTACGTTCCCTCCAAACATTACATAAACGAGTCTCGTCCCCAGCCGCTTGCAAAGCATATCAATCACACTTCCCTTCATTTAACAAAATAACAAGCATAGCATGATGGATGTTGCTTTTGAGTGTATAATAACGCATACTTTAAATTTAAAATAAACATCCTCACATCGTCAGTGTCTATTTACGTGGCCCGACAGTCTCGCAAAATGGGGTATTGACATAAGTCTCTTCCCGGGAGCCGAAGTGAAAATCGACAGAAACCACAAATCTGTGACAGCTGAATTGACAGTAATAAATCCACAATGCACCGCGTGATCAATTACACACCCAGCTAGATACTGAAATATTTTCTCCGTACGACAGATTGCTTGCTTTAGCTACATGGATCGAGCTAACGCCATCGCGACCATTGCAATTCCAAGTATGTCATAAAAATGGCAATGTAAACAGAAATGTAAGATATTCGCGTCTAAAACAATATAAATTTACGAGGCAACTCGATTACCTTCTCGGACTGAACAGGTCGTCCATGTCGGAGGCTCTTTTGGTGTCGTTGTTAGGTTGACACTGTCAGCGTAGTGGTCGATACAAACTATGCTATTCCATACTACTCAAAATGGAGGCTAAGAGGAGACGATTTTTTTCATAGCACTAAACTGTGCAATGACCTCAGCCCCAACGTTCAGCCTTCAAAATTCCCTTCTCCGTAGACATAACGGAGCATGTGCCGCCGTCGCTAATAGGATAATCTACTGTAGTGTCCACAGAGCCATGCCCCAGAGTGCATCGATACAAAAATATTTAACAGCCTCGAACGCATCAGATATTATTCAGAATTCCAGGAAAACTGTAGAGCGCCAGAGTACTGAACAGGTTCACACCTGGATACATTATCCAGCACAGACTGATATTCCAGGAATACATATTTTAAGAATCAATTATATAACTAATGCTAGACTATAGTGACACCTATCACTCTTATAATACATATATACACTTGACAATCAAACATTTACACATCTTGCAGAAAAAGAATGACCACAGGGAAATGGTTCAGTTACAAGCAAATTAGTTTATTCAACTGCATCTATAGCCATAGCACTTTCCTAAACCATTGCAGTTATTTTGCTCTATATTTAAATAGTAAGAATTGCAACTCACAACACCCTAACCAAAATGTGCCACCCCCCCCCAACAAAAAATGCCAGAATTGTAAGTTACTATAGTCGCCACAGACACCTTGTGAATCTAGGGCAGCAGAACGTATGTAGACTAGGGTAGGGAATGTATGTAGACTAGGGTAGGGAATGTATGTAACCAAAACCTATGGTTTTGGAGCGTAACTTTACATGATGTTCCTTTCTAGCTGCCTTGACATGTGTGTAACACTTTCAGTTTGTGCCGTAAGCTTCTTCAGCATTTTCAAGTAATCATTGGAATGCTTGCTAAACCGTTATGTGCCTATATGCCCATGAGTATGTGCCCATTGCACACAGTTAAGCCAGCGGGTTCCTGAAGTTCTTCCCAGCAAAGACAGCCTTCTCTCCCAATTCCTCTTCAATTCTGTGAGTCAAGAGAAAAGACAGTTTTAGCACTACAAAGCAATATTCAAAACATACTTAGTTATAATGAAGCTTATAGCTTAGTCTGTAGTTTTTACACTTCAGTGTCCAGACTGTATTGTGATGGTTTGTCGGCCTGTACATTCTTATTGTAGCAGCACCATTTCACTTAATCGAAAGTAAATGTATTTAGCAAATAAAGGTGATTCTGTACAATGGTCAACTAAAATTATACATTTCCCCAATGGTTATGATGCCATGCAGGATTACATGGGTAAAAACCATGATCAACAAGAAAGAAATGTAGCAGAATAAATATGACAAGCATCACAACATTGATTAATTAGGCTATAAAGGACATGAACCCTCACCTGAGAATCTGGTTGTACTTGGCCAGACGCTCAGAGCGGCAAGGAGCCCCAGTCTTAATCTGGACATAGACAGGGGCAGCATGAATTACACAGCAATAATGTAGACAGTAACTAAAATACAGTAACAAATATAATTTAAAATGAATCATAACAATGAAAATTGCATTTCCGGTACCAAAACAATACATCTAAATTCACAAGTGTCAGATACAGTAGTATACCAACAGTATTTCCTTACTTGTCCAGTGCACAGCCCCACCACCAGATCAGCGATGAAGGTGTCCTCAGTCTCCCCAGAGCGATGGCTAACCATCACTCCCCAGCCACTGGACTGGGCCATCTTGCACCTGGACAGCGGGAAGAGAGAAGACTCTTGACATGGTTAGAAGTTCACACAGCTGGAAAATTGCATCATGCGAGGCTCACGTTAGACTTACAACTGTCAGGTTGTTTGACTTGCCTTGACTCACATGAGACATAACGGTTTGTTGACAGTCATTAAAATATCAATTTAATGCTCATCAATATATAGTATAATTACATAAACTCCTAAATCTCAGGTATTCTTTCAGGTCTGGGTCCCCCCCGAAAAAAGGCAAGAAAAAACTGAGGCCAGAGTTCCTCTTGAAGAAGTCACCATGGAGTAAAGATAGTGGGTGAAACTTACGCGGCCAGAGACTCAGTCACAGAGCCAATCTGGTTGACCTTTAGCAGCAGGCAGTTGCAGGCCTTGTCCTCCACGGCCTTGGTGATGCGTTTGGGGTTGGTCACTGTGAGGTCATCACCCACCACTTGGATCTCCGTGCTGCCAGTGAAGTTGGACCACGCCTCCCAGTCATCCTGGTCAAAGGGGTCCTCAATGGATACCACTGTCACAGAGGGGACATAGATCAGTGATCACAGAGAGGAAAGTCATGGTCCTGTACCTTAGAGTAGACTAAACCATTGAATAGGACATAATGTGTGTAACTTAGTTTCATTTCAATTGCCAACCATAATATTCAACACAGTGCCCATCTCCATTGTAGTGTAAAATGATTCATTGAATTTGTAATAATTAAAATACAAAGCTGCTCCAGCAAGAGACAACATTACATACTTTTGAAATACTACAAAGGTAAACAAGAGAGGACAGGACACACACCTGGGTAATCCTTGCAGAAGCTCTTGTAGAGGTCAGCCAGCTCATCAGGAGTGATGTAACGCTCTGGGTCATCAGGAGACTTGAAGTCCAAGTCATATTTACCATCCCTATAGAACTCAGAGGCTGCCACATCCATGCCGATCACCACCTCTTCTGTGTATCCTGCTTTGCTGATGGCCTCTTTGATCAGCTCTAGAGCTGTGGAAAATGAAGCAGAGGTGTTAATTTGTTAGAATATGGTTTGTTATACACTGCTCAAAAAAATTAAAAGGGAACACTAAAATAACACATCCTAGATCTGAATGAATGAAATAATATTAAATACTTTTTTCTTTACATAGTTGAATGTGCTGACAACAAAATCACACAAAAATTATCAATGGAAAATCAAATTTATCAACCCATGGAGGTCTGGATTTGGAGTCACCCTCAAAATTAAAGTGGAAAACCACACTACAGGCTGATCCAACTTTGATCGAATGTCCTTAAAACAAGTCAAAATGAGCCTCAATAGTGTGTGTGGCCTCCACGTGCCTGTATGACCTCCCTACAACTCCTGGGCATGCTCCTGATGAGGTGGCGGATGGTCTCCTGAGGGATCTCCTCCCAGACCTGGACTAAAGCATCCGCCAACTCCTGGACAGTCTGTGGTGCAACGTGGCGTTGGTGGATGGAGCGAAACATGATGTCCCAGATGTGCTCAATTGGAGTCAGGTCTGGGGAACGGGCGGGCCAGTCCATAGCATCAATGCCTTCCTCTTGCAGGATCTGCTGACACACTCCAGCCACATTAGGTCTAGCATTGTCTTGCATTAGGAGGAACCCAGGGCCAACCGCACCAGCATATGGTCTCACAAGGTGTCTGAGGATCTCATCTCGGTACCTAATGGCAGTCAGGCTACCTCTGGCGAGCACATGGAGGGCTGTGCGGCCCCCCAAAGAAATGCCACTCCACACCATGACTGACCCACCGCCAAACCGGTCATGCTGGAGGATGTTGCAGGCAGCAGAACGTTCTCCACGGCGTCTCCAGACTCTGTCACGTCTGTCACATGTGCTCAGTGTGAACCTGCTTTCATCTGTGAAGAGCACAGGGCGCCAGTGGCGAATTTGCCAATTCGCCAATGCTACCACTAGAGTGAAAGCACCGCCAGCATTCAAAAGTGACCAAAACATCAGCCAGGAAGCATAGGAACTGAGAAGTGGTCTGTGGTCACCACCTGCAAAACCAGTCCTTTATTGGGGGTGTCTTGCTAATTGCCTATAATTTCCACCTGTTGTCTATTCCATTTGCACAACAGCATGTGAAATGTATTGTCAATCAGTGTTGCTTCCTAAGTGGACAGTTTGATTTCACAGAAGTGTGATTGACTTGGAGTTACATTGTGTTGTTTAAGTGTTCCCTTTATTCTTTTGAGCAGTGTACATTGGCAACACCTTGTGATCATGTGGTTACTACACGTTAGTGGCGGATGAGGTGAGTTTCCCATAGAAAGTAAAGCGTCTGGAAAAGAGCTGAATCCAATAAAGTATCAAAATATACTTTGTGCTGAAAATAAATATACTTTCTTATGTGCTGAAAATAAAAACCCTATGATCACGTCTCTCTCGTACCTTCCTTGTTCTCCAGGATGTTGGGAGCAAAGCCGCCCTCATCTCCCACATTGGTGGCGTCCTGGCCGTACTTCTTCTTGATGACGTTCTTCAGGTTGTGGTAGACCTCAGCCCCGATACGCATGGCCTCCTTGAAGGTGCTGGCACCCACCGGCAGGATCATGAACTCCTGCATGGCCAGCTTGTTGCCCGCGTGAGACCCACCATTGATCACGTTAAAGGCCTGGGAAATAAGAAAGCAAATATTTATTTGATTCCATTAAATTCATTTAAAGATAATTTCCTCCATCCAGGTCTCTCAAAAGGTAAATACACAACAAGCTGTAAGACAAGTCATGTGTGAGCGTTCTTTGATAGTACTGTAAGAGTAAAATACTGTCTTTGACTGACGTTATCACACCCTGTACTCACCGGCACGGGCAGGATGACCTCAGGGTTCCCAGCGAGGTCAGCGATGTGACGGTACAGGGGGACACCTTTCTCTGCTGCACCAGCCTTACACACCGCCAGGGAAACACCCAGGATGGCGTTGGCACCAAACTTGGCTGATATGTGCCAAAAATAAAAATTAATACAAGTGAAATTGATAAAAAATAACCTCATAAGGGGCAAATATTTACAGTCATTTAGCCGACGGCACTCTCATTCAGAGTGGCTTACAATCAGTGCATTTAACTATCTAGGTAAAACATAAAATAGACAGAAACATGTCCTCTGCATTTTAATCTGAAAAACTTACACTTGTTCTCTGTGCCATCCATGTCAAGCATGATCTGATCGATTTTATCCTGCTCAACCACAGACACATCCTGAGATGAAGAACGAACAAGTTTAGCACATAGCATTTAAACTGAGGAACTAGGGCTGCATTAACTACGAGTAAGTGGCAGTGGAGTGGACACTATACTTATTTATCTTTACCAGGTAGGGAAACATCAAGATAAGACGTCAAGATGAGCAAAGACAACATTCCATGTCATTGTACTTCTCAAAAAAGTTTTAATCCTACCTGACCAACAAGTGCAGGTGCAAGTGTAGAGTTAATGTGGTCCACGGCTTGTGAGACACCTGAAAGGACAATGAAACATTACTGACTAACGGGCCTTGCTACACTGCATCCATCGGGCGCCATTGCCATCAGCCAGAGGAAATGCTTCCGGTGAAATCAATGAAAGCTGCTATACTGCACGTGTTGCGCTCGCGTTGCGTCACGTCCAATGGCAGCAACCAAGCTCAAGAATCGCAGAGATTCAATTCTCGATGGCTGACACGCACATTCATTCGATCTTGTGAATTGAATTAATAATGCGCTCTGTAGCAGGTAGAACGTCACATTGATGTGACAGTGGAGCTGAAGTGTAAGAAGCATTAAGACAGATGGGGGATTTAGAAAGTAACAATCCAAGCAACATCAACAACCCAGTATGCTTCTCTGAAATAGATTCCATTATACTCATATTATGCAGTTAGACTATATTAAGCCCAGATACACACCTTTCCCAAGGTAGCGTGACTTGTCATTGTCCCTGAGCTCCAGGGCTTCATAGATACCAGTGGAAGCGCCACTGGGTACAGCTGCTCTGAACAGACCTGGGAGATGGAGAGAAGAGTGACAGATAAAATAGTGTTTGTCATGAAGTTGGACAATCACCTATGCAATAGTTCCCAAACTGTGAGGCGCGCAGGGTTAGGCCAATAACAACAATTACCTTTGTCAGTGTAGAGGTCCACCTCCACAGTGGGGTTGCCACGAGAATCAAAGATCTCCCGGGCATGAATCTTCAGGATGGACATGGTGCTCGACCTTTGGAGGAGAAAAGTCTTATTATTGTATTTATTTTTTAAGAATGCTTACCAGATCACTCGTATCATGATGAGACTATCAGTCCTATAAACATGATACCTCAATATCTGTCCATTGTGCAAACTCTAAAGCCTGAAAATGTGAATCAGCATGTTTCTTTCACAGTCATTTGAGATATTAATGTTTTTCAGATACCATCTAACTTTCGGTCAAGCCAATGAAGGCATGAACACCGCCCCAAATGGCTTTGCTATATCAGAGGGCCTTTGTTGACTGCTGAATACAAATCTACTAGGTCCAGTAGAACCTATTGCTACTTCAGTCAGCGGTGGTTAAAAATGACTTTCACTGCATGAGTAGTCCTTTTCCTAAAAGTGTCCTTCCTGGTTGTTGTGAGCTTAGTGGTGCTAGCAGCAGGATAGCTGCCTAATCGGATTAGCTACTGTCCATCTCATTAATCACATGGCACTGTACTTAACCTAAGCAGTGGTAAGGCATCTGTCAAGGCGACGTCTTGACAGCCAAACACCAATATGTATCATTCTGAATGTTGTAGGCCATCTAATCTTGGCGTTGTTGATGACAATGGATATGTTTTTTCTTCGAAAGATACCTACAGTGATCTCAAATCATCCGATTGACATGAGATCCCCTAGCAATCCTGTCAATGGAACGTCCCTTGAACTTGCTGTGCGAATAGTCTCGTACGTGGGTTGAGAATGCACACTATGAATGTACTGCATCTGGTATCATCAAATTTGGAAATTGCACCACACAGTTGGCTACATAATTTAACAGTAAATTGACTAAATGTTGTGTATCCAAAGTGATTAGCTAACTTTAGAATTCTAATCAAACGTTAATTAAAAGTTCAAGTTCAAACTTTGAGAGGCTGAATGAACATGATAGCGGCTAGACTGGCTAGCGGAAACGGAGGGGAACTTCTGCAGAAAGGTCACAGATAGAACTAGGGTTAGTTATAAATACACTACATATACAAAAGTATGTGGACACCCCTTCAAATGAGTGGATTTGGCTATTTCAGCCACATCCGTTGCAGACAGGTGTATAAAATCGAGCAATATCCATGCAATCTCCATAGACAAACATTGGCAGTAGAACGGCCTTACTGAAGAGCTCAGTGACTTTCAACGTGGCACCGTCATAGGATGCCACCTTTCCAACAAGTCAGTTCATCAAATTTCTGCCCTACTAGATCTGCCCCGGTCAACTGTAAGTATTGTTATTGTGAAGTGTAAACGTCTAGGTGCAACAATGGCTCAGCCGCAAAGTGGTAGGCCACACAAGCTCACAGAACGGGACCGCTGAGTGTTGAAGCGCGTAGCGCATAAAAACCGTCTGTCCTCGGTTGCAACACTCACTACCGAGTTCCAAACTGCCTCTGGAAGCAACATCAGCACAAAAACTGTTAGCCGGGAGCTTCAGGAAATGGGTTTCCATGGCCGAGCAGCCGCACACAAGGCTAAGATCACTATGCACAATGCCAAGCGTCGGCTAGAGTGGTGTAAAGCTCGCCGCCATTGGACTCTGGAGCAGTGGAAATGCATTCTCTGGAGTGATGAATCACACTTTACCATCTGGCAGTCCAACAGACTATTCTTGGTTTGGCGGATGCCAGGAGAATAGTCCATACATTCATGTTTTGCCGAGATCGGTGTTGAAGAACTTGACTGGCCTGCACAGAGCCCTGACCTCAACCCCATCAACCACCTTTGGGATGAATTGTAACGCCAACTGCAAGCCAGGCCTAATCGCCCAACATCAGTGCCGACCACACTAATGCTCGCGGCTGAATGGAGCAAATCCAGGCAGCAACTTTCCAACAGTGGAAAGCCTTCCCAGAAGAGTGGAGGCTGTTATAGCAGCAAATGGGGGACCAACTCCACATTAATGCCCATGATTTTGGAATGAGATGTTCGAAGAGCAGATGTCCACATACACTACATTACCAAAAGTATCTTTGGAAAGGTCGAGGAACAACTCAAAGTTCTGTCTTCAAAACCGGAAGACCCAGCTTGCGCTTCTGTTGTGAAAAGCAACAGCGGATCCGGGCTTTAATATTGTCATAACACTGGTCGTTTTCTTACATAACAGATACATGTGGTTAGTCACTTACCTTTGAATTAAAATAGCAGTCAAGGTGAGAGGAAGGGCAGTCTTTCCCGAGTAATGCCGGCGAGTTGTGCGTTAAGTTCTGGGAGGTGGAAAACAGACTTCCACTGTCCTTTTCTGTGTTTTGCTCTTCTTCTTCTCTGGAATCATCAACCAGAACTCTCCACCCCGCCACCTATGGTTTAGGAGTAGGACCTACATGTCATGGGTTTGTGCCTTTGATGCGCTGAGAGTCAATCATAAATCATAAACTAGTAAATAAATACTGTATATGGACTGACATAACATGTCATCTTCAGTACAGATAGTTATTTGGCCTATACCCCAGTATACTTTGAGCCTCTGCCTACATGAAGTCGAGCACAAAGTTGAGCACAAAGTCAAAGATTGGACAACTACATCTGCTAATCTCCCTCTTCCCCCAACCCCTGGCTCTCTTACTCACACCATGTTCCTGAATCCCACATCTCCCCCTTTCTTTTTTCTGTCAATATGTAACCTTTGTGCTTTTACTGTCATACCCTCTATCTTCCTCTCTCCATTCTCGAGACAATCTTATACGATAATATGAAAATTATAGGCAAACAATCTTGAAAGAAATAGAAACAATATTGAAAGAAAATGGTGGAAAGAAAGCTACTATTCCCCACCCAACTCCAGAAGCCTAATGAGCTTTGTTTTTCCTCCCGAATGTAACCCCATAAAATTAGGACTTACAATACAAAGCCTATTCCCCCTCAGGAGACTGAAAAGATTTGGCATGGGTCCTCAGATCCTCAAAAAATTCTACAGCTGCAACATCGAGAGCATCCTGACTGGTTGCATCACCGCCTGGTATGGCAACTGCTTGGCCTCCGACCGCAAGGCACTACAGAGGGTAGTGCGTACGGCCCAGTACATCACTGGGGCCAAGCTTCCTGCCATCCAGGACCTCCATACCAGGCGGTGTCAGAGGAAGGCCCTCAAAACTGTCAAAGACTCCAGCCACCCTAGTCATAGACTGTTCTCTCTGCTACTGCACGGCAAGCGGTACCGGAGTGCCAAGTCTAGGTCCAAAAGACTTCTCAACAGCTTCTACCCCCAAGCCATAAGACTCCTGAACAGCTAATCATGGCTACCCGGACTATTTGCACTGCCCCCCCACCCCATCCTTCTACGCTGCTGCTACTCTGTTAATTATTTATGCATAGTCACTTTAACTCTACCCACATGTACATGTGGCCAATAAAATTTGATTTGATTTGATTTGATCAGAGGAGGCTGGTGGGAGGAGCAATAGGAGGACGGGCTCATTTTAATGGCTGGAATGGAATTAATGGAACGGAGTCCAACCTGTGGTTTCCATATGTTTGATGTGTTACCGTTCCATTAATTACATTCCCGCCACTATAATGAGCCCGTCCTCCTATAGCTCCTCCCACCAGCCTCCTGTGATCTCTACATGTAACGCCTGGTGGTATGCAGGCCTATTGTATGTTACTCAATAAATCAGTAACTCTGGTTTCTGTGTGATTGTATACTGTACGTGGGAATACACATTTTTCACACAGTCTCCCTGGCTGTGGCCCAATATCTTACAGCTGGCAGGCACAGCATTCTGTTTACACTATACTGTAATCTGTTACTTTTATGAGCCATACAGCACCAGGAAGTCTTATATGGTCTTGCCAGTCAACATGGCTTTTTACTACTTCCACTTTTATACAATATTTGTTTAAATCTTATTGTATATCAAAGACAAAATGTGTTATTGGTAAAATGTAAATGACTGATATATTATGTATTTGTCTTTATGAGAATGATGAAACCACATCACATCAGGGATAAAGGTACATAACCTTCAGGGCGGTGTGTTTGTGTGCCTTGGTACCCATGGTAACGCCATCGTAACAGGATTCCCTGAGCTGAGCTCACCATCCCACAGGGTCTGTCTCTGTCTGTCTGTGTACCAGTAGCTGCATCATTCTCACAACCCCCTCTCCACCTGTAGCTGGAACATGACATCTGTCTCTGGGTGTTCTTTATGTAGCCTATTGTGTATGAAGGCAGAGAGGTACCTGAGTATATGAGTGAGGTCACAGCATTGACAATGTTTGACAATTAGTTTGTGGTTTAACCACTGTACAATCAATGCAAGGCAGATGTCCTGAGTAGGAAGGTGAATCAGCCAGTTAATTTGCTTGTTTGGTTGCTGCTTTGCTTCCCAGATTCACCTGGTCCCATGGGACTCTAGTCATTTGAACCCCCTGTACTGCCCCACCTGGTGCACAAACATCCTGCTGGGCCCAATTACCTGGGAATGCAAGTCAGAGCACAGCCTTGTTGCTGGGGTGCATGTGTCCTCTGATGATTACCCCATGCCCACTCACACCAATTGGAAGATCTCACGGTCTTTGTCCCTATTATACAATGGACTGGAGTTCAATATTAGATCTAATGAAATATTTAAATGTACAGTATATTGTTTGAATAGTTTATCAAAAACATTTAAACTCTGATATTAGTTACTAGTTATTAGTGGCTGGTTCTGTATTGCTTATTCATGGTTTTATGTGAGGTAAGATTAGCTGTGTGTCAAATTGCGTTGGTAAATGCTGTCCCTTGACTTTGGCACCCTGTAAAAACACTTTCAATTGACAAAAACATGACAAATAATAAATGTTCTGTTTAATTGAACTGTTATTTAATAAGAAAACATATGTAAGTCCTTTATACTGCAAAACATATATTTGTATGCATTGTAGAAACTACTGGGTGCTAGCAAATTGGCTTGTCCCACTGGTAATGTGTAGATGTCAGAGGAGGCTGGTCGAAGGAGCTATAGGAGGACAGGCTCATTGTAATGGCTGGAATGGAATAAATGGAAC